GGATTGCATTTTCTTGATGAACAGTAGTCGTGCATCCAACATATTGTCTGCAAGCAAATATAAAATAATTATAACGAATGCAAGCACATATGATCCAAGCAGCAAACAACTCTATTCAGAAGCTTCTATGCCATGCCACCGGATCCGCAACATTCATGCAAGCGGACAGAAGGCGTCTACAAGCACTTTCAAAGTACCCCCTCACGTGACGTCTAGGGATGCTGCGCGGGTTGACAAGTGAATTCATGTTCGAAACTGATCCTTCTATACGGGTCAATAGAAGTCGACAGGGTTCGAACCAACAAATAAATATACGGTTGCGGTGACCATCATATTTGTCTTAATACATTCATATTAGGCCTTCAAGGCCTATAATAATAAGAATTCACTATCAATGACATAAAGCCTACGAAACCCGATCATCGATCAATAGTCTGGTCGAGTTGACATGGTTCAATCAACAAAAGAGAAATGACTCCAAACATCCCGATGATGGCCTTGTTGAATGAAAATCTCAAACGGAGGGGTCCATTCCAAATATTTTCATAATGCCACCCAAATGCCCATAAAAAATACCAAAATCCAAAACTCCACAAAAATCCCAAAATCCCAAAAATATTTAAAATTTGAAATAAATCCATCAAAATACTTAAAGCAAAATCCATCCACCCTCTGCAACAGTTTGCCGGGTGGACAAATTAAAGTTTACTTCAGCTTACAAAGAGCCAAATGTGTAGTCGAAAATATCACTAGGATCCATTCTCAAACAGTCTCCTGCCAGTAAGGACGTGGTACGTGTCCTCTAACCGGCGGTTTGCCGCCAAATGGCACCGCAGGATAAACGGTTATGACCCGGGGCCCTCTGAACCGAGTGGTTTTGCCGCCAAATGGCACCACGAAATACCGGTTATGGCCAGAGCCGTTACGTTCCTTATTGGCATCAAATCCTTGAGATATGAATCAATATGATATGATTGATAGGGCATAAAGCCCTCTGTTAGCTAAGGTGGATTTAAATTTGTCCCCTTAGGCAAATACCCATCCCAGGTCTACAAGGTACCCTTGGACGAAGCAACCCATGGCTGCTGACAAGGATCCTTCTGTCAAGTTGGGTCGACTACCTCCTCTGACTAAGTAGACCAGGGACCACGATGGCCTGGGACGACAGAACCATGGGATCTTGATCGGCTCTATTATCCATTCCCCCACCATCCGCTGTAAGTGCAAAATGATGCAATTTCAAGTTTTAAATATCAAACCCTTCAAATTTTCAAATATCTAGACTTTTCAAATCCCAAACCCATTGCTTCTACTATAGCCAGATAACATGTATTCTACGCATCTGATTGATGACTAGCCTTAGTCGAAAGTTCTCTCTCATGATTAAGAGGGGTAATTAACTTTAGGGGCTTGCGCCTATAAGAAACCAGAACTCAGATCATAAAGTCCTCACAAAATGAGGGCGAAATCTCTGGGTAGTGTCTTATCTACAAATCCATCTGCTTTCTAAAATTTACATCGGAACTTATATTCAATTAAAACTCCCTCGCCGAATAAAAGAAAAGCTAGCGGAGGCCGGGGTCGAATTTTCGGAGCCCACACTAAACCAGGGATTTGATTTAGGAATAAAATTAGGAAATATATCTTAGGAAAATTCGGCCAGGGAGTTGGAATTTGAAAATATTTCCACAAGTAAGGAAAGGGAAATAGGAAAGAAATCCCAATCCCAACTCAATGGAAGGAGGCCGGCGGTATGGGTGATTATGGGAGCACTTAATGAGGGAAATGAAGGGTTTCCTAATTGGGTTTAGTAAAGAGGAAAATTTTAATTAAATCCTATTCAAATAAAATTCAAATAGGTCTAATTTAGGAATTTTCCTAAAATAAGTTTGATATTTTAGGAAAGATTTTAAATCCCAATTGGACACATTTGAATTCAAAAATCTGTCCCAAACTATTCAATCCCAAATAGGCAATGGAATTTAATGGGGAAAGAGGAAGTGGAGGGAGCTGGCCGTCGGCTATGGGGTTGTGGCCGGCGGTATGGGGGAGGCCGGGTGTTGGCTTAGGCCGTGAGGTTGAGTGTGGTGCTTGGGTGAGGTGGGAAAAACCGTCGGCTTGGGGAGGAAGATGACGAGGAAAAAGATATAGAATAAAACCACGAACCCGACAGCCTCCAAGGTTGGTGGGTGGTGCGCAAATCTCCCTCTTCTAGGGATCTCTCTTCATTAGAGCTCACAAGTTCTCACAAAGCTCATGCAAGAGGAAAATTTCTAATCAATCATTCATTAACCAAGAAATAATAAGCAAAGGGCTATATATAGCCAAGTACAATGGACTCAAAGAAATAAAAGACTAAATTGCCCTTAGGGCTCACACATGACACTTTCCACTAACGGGGTACAAACGGAAATACCAAAATAACACTAAACAAATAAAAATACATAAATAATGAAATAACACAAATGACTCAAAAATACAAATACTCAATCGTGGCCGTAGATCGGCGGTTACGTCTTTGATAAACCTTCCACGATCTGATGTCCCCATCACATAGTTTAAATCCTATACTAATAATTTCCTTAGCCTTCTCTCCAACTCATTTAGTTTTCTGAATGCATAGAACATACATCTTAGAATTTATTTTAGATGGGTTTCATGCTGTTGTTGGATGTATAGATTAGGAGTTCTTAAGGCTGTTAATTTCCCAAGATCACGATTATTCAGTTAAATGCTACTTTAAAGTGTACTCTGATTAGTAGTGCATACACCTAATTCTCTCCTAAACAAAATTCATTTTCAAGTAGAAGTATAATCATTCCAAAGTAAATATCTCCCTTGTAGAGCCACATTTGTGATATATGTTTTCTCTTCTTCAATTAATTATCATGCTATTTATTAAATAATGAGAGTGACTTATAGTGTGAATATATCATATTTCTAAATTATAATGACATAATGAAATACTGAAAAAATATTCATGCTTGTCCTAATAGAAGAAACAATACTAAATTATTTGATAGCTCTTATTTAATGATGATATTGTAAGAAATTTTGAAATTTAACAGTATAACAATAGTATGAGGAAGAAAAATCATATCTTAGCTTATTCTTTATATTCCGTAAATAATACAAGTCATAAGAATCTTTGTCTAAATATACCTATTATTCTATGGTACTTTTTTTTTTAATTTTTCAAAATCTTTTTTAATTTACGTGTGCAGCCACATTATAATACCTAAAGTTTCAAAAATATACAATTATAAATTCTCATAAAAATTATACTGAAAAGTCATCAAAGTTATTTTTATGGAATTCTATATTTAATTTCGATTATTTTGATATTCATTTATATATATATATATATAGAAGTATATATAAATACATAAGTTTATTAGCATTTAATAATTAAGTTCTTAATTGAATTATTTTGCCTATACATTTTAGGGGATTTAGATACATACCATTTTATTTTACGCTTTTTATATGTCTAATACCTAGAAATTTAATATTCATTTAACCATTCTACTGTAGCAAAATAGTTTCCTCCACTTTCCAGCAACATGTATCGGCAAATTTAAGAAGAATATTAAATTAACCTAAATAGCTAAACTTAATTATTAATAATAACCTTAGCTATAAAATAATAATAATAATAATAATAATAATAATAATAACCTGAGCTATAAACTTATTTATCTCTATCATCCTTCTATTTTTTAATCTCTACATCCTTACCTGTTCCTGTAACAGAGAGCTGCAGGCGGAACAATAAAAAGAGGGCTCGGGTATAAGCTGAAGCAAAGCTGAAGCAGAGTTAATGCCAACTTTAAAAGATTTTTGGAGTTTGGTTTCATTTTGTTCAAATCTTTTTTTCGTCAAGATGCAGTGTCCTTTCGAGCGTGTCTTTCGGTACCTCTCTGATGATATATAGTTCTCTGATGATATATGGTGGTCCTGTCCATGCAGTTTTTTTTCAAGAAAGTTATATTAGTTGCACTATCTCGCTATAAAGCTAATTTTAATTGTGGTATCAGAAAGTGTAAGATAGTCTCCTAGGTCGGTTAAGCTTCAGTGCTAGGCCATTTTCACACCTTCGTTGCATGTAATATGCTAAAAGAGAAATTAAAGGAAGAAAGCAGTGGCGGAGGGAGGGGGGGCACACCTCCAAAATTTTACTTTAAAGAAGCTGTTGGAGAGTTAAAGCTTTTACTGTTACCTATTCTTTTAATACTACCTATTATTTAATCAACCAAAAAGTTAAGGCTTCAGTTTGCAATTCCAATACTGAGTCCGCCATCCCTCTCCTACATTTGATTTGCGTTCTATTTTCTTCTCTTAGCTTATTTTGCTAGTGCAGTTTTTATTTGCACATGAATTTTAGTGTATTTTATTTTACCCATTTTCTGGAGGTCTTTCCCTTCATAGTTTTGCTCCCTTCCCCCTACATATGTAACTAATTTCTTTCTCTTTTAATAGAAATGGGCTATGGCCTTAATTTGTCCCCAAAAAAAAAACCAAAAGATTTACCTTTTACCATCACTTAACATACATCAAATTATGATTTTAAGCAGTTATTAATCTTTTCAGTCTTGTTCGGCAACTATATATATATACATATGTATGTGGAAACAAGGTTGAAGTTGGCCCCCTCTAAAAAAAATTTCTAGCTCGACCACTGGAAGAAAGTGCAAGCCTTCTTGAAATCACTAAATTACCAACCTTCTGGATGTCAAAAGGCATTGTAGCTTCATGAACATCTCGGCTTGTTTTGAAAAAAGGTTATTTAGATGCTTATGGCTCTTAAATAGGGCAAATGTTTCTAATATAGTTAACTTTTCCAAGTTATCAGAATATGTGACTGTCCAATACTAGAAAATTTTGAACGGAGCCTTACGTTTGTAGCAGCTTAAAGCATTTATTTGCTTTATTTTTAAATTCTTTGCAGGTTTCAGTAGTCGCATTTTCCCTCTTTAATCGTTAGCAATCTTTTGTTGCAGAGTCAGAAAAGTATAAAGCTGTTATCTTGCGTATTGACAGCCCTGGAGGGGATGCTCTGGCTTCTGATCTGTAAGTGACACATATTTTCGTATTTATATTGATACATCAATTTATGAGCAACTTTTACTGCTATTTTTTGTTTTATACTATTGAAGGTTTGTGAACCTATAAAATCTGAAAACGTTCATTCATGTGAAGTATTCACTTGCATGATGCGCTTGGCACTGCATGACCTTTCTAAGACATATCTTCCATTTTCTAGTTACAATGCACTGGTTATCATGCAAATGCTGAATCTTTGGTGCACATTTTTCATTTTTTGCATCTTTTGGGTATTTAATAGTCTATAATAATGAATATGATCGAGGACTGATAGGGAGGGATGGGGTTGAAGGGATTTACAGATGCAGAGAGGAACATTAGTGACTAATTCCTACACAATAAACTAAACCTTAATTCTAAAGTAATAAAAGAGACCTTTCTATGTTTTGTTTAAGTTCCAAAACAAACCCTTCCCATTTTTTCATGAAATCTCTCAACCCATTTCCTCTCATTAAAAGTTTAGGCCAAAACTTTAGATTCTAAACATATAACACCCTTCCTTACCTTCAAAACATCCTTAAAATAAATTAAATTTTCGGAATTAAATAAATCAAAAATTAGGAAATCTTGTATTTCAAATAAAATCTATAAATTAGTCTCTAAAATCCTCCCAAATACTAACAAAAACCATAGGGATCAAAAATTCCTTAATTAGGGAGAAACCCTAAATTCCTAAACTCAAAAATTTCGTCGTTCATTCAATATTTTTCAATTAGAGGCTTTCTTAGGTTAATAGGAACCTCATTTGCAAAGACATTTCCAAAGAAACAAATTTTAAGCAAAACCCTAATTTTCAAAACTCATATTTTGATGAAAGAAAATGCACATTAGGGTTTATAAACATCCTTTAATCATTCTCTAAACTTTTCTCAAAAGAATATCAAAGAAAACTTAAGTTCTTCTCAAACCCTAGAAATCTTCTCATCCAAAAATTTTGAGAATGAGAGGGAAAACCCTAGTTCTATTGCATACCTTTCACTTCCCTTAGTCTCCCCTATGATTTTCTCCAAGTTTGGCCGCCGGAAACCGCCGCCGGAGAGGAACCCGTCGCCCTTGCCGCTTCGCCTATGCCGCCGCTCCCTCTCGGTTTCTTTCGCTCAAACCGTGCGAATGGGGAGAGAGGGAAAACCCTAGTTCTATTGCATACCTTTCACTTCCCTTAGTGTCCCCTACGATTTTCTCCAAGTTTGGCCGCGGAAACCGCCGCCGGAGAGGAACCCGTCGCCCTTGCCGCTTCGCCTATGCCGCCGCTCCCTCTCGGTTTCTTTCGCTCAAACCGTGCGAATGGGGAAGAATGAGGGCCCGATTGGCTCATAATAGGAAGATGGGGGAAAGCCAAAAGACATACATGCCCTTACTTAAACAACCCATGCTTGAACAAACCTTAAGGGTAGAAATGGCATTTAGAAACTTCCAAAAATTCATAATTCTCAAAATACTCATAATTAAATATAGGTTTTATATATGAAAACTATCAGAATTTTACGCTCTATTTTCTAAAATTATTCCCGTAAAAAACCGACAACCTCGAATTTTTTACTTAAACCTCGTCGCGGCGCTTTGAAAAGCGTGCGAGGTCTTAGACGACATTTTCGGGTTTTACAATTCTCAATTTGAATTCAATTTGGATCTCTTTCCTTGATTAATTTTCCCCAAATTTTAATTAAAACTTTCCCGATTATCTCTCCCTCTATTTCTCCTCCTTATATGTGGGATTAAATCTTTTATCGGCCACACAAGGGGGGCCGAACTCCCCTCCCAGTTTCGTGTTGGGTTCATTCCCTTTCAACTAGGAGCACTACAGGAAAATCACCCATTTCCGGCGGCTTTTTCCGGCGGAATTTGAGCCTTTTCCGGCGGAATTTGAACCTTTTCCAGCGGTTTTTTAATTTAGCGGCGGTTTTCGCATTTTTTCTGCCGGTAAAAATGGCTTAGGAAAATTATTTCCCGCTCCACCCCTACAGAC